TCAATATTCAACCATGTCAGTAGGTAGCAAATGAGCAAGAACTTATGGTACTGAAGGAAGAAGTCCAAGCTGCACTGAAGCATTAGCCAAAAACGAGCTGGCATAAACTGATGGAATACCAATTAAAATGTATCAACAAGCTGATGAAGCACTGGAAGCATTCATTCGTCTATGCCAGGAAATTTGGAAGAGCGTATCATTGATATCACATGCAAGTAAAATTTTGATGAGGATCATCCAGCAACAGTTGCAGCAGTACACTGAGAGGGCTGCCAAAGGTTCAGGCCAGACTCAAAAGAGGATGTGGAACAAGGGATATCATTGCTGATGTCAGACGACTTTTGGCTGAAAGCAGAGAGTATCAGAAAGATATTTATTTGTGTTTCATTGACTTTGCAAAGGCATTCAATTGTGTGAATCTTAACAAACTATGGATAATTTTGAGAAGAATGGGATTTCCAGAACACATCATTGTGCTCCTGCACAACTTGTACATGGAGCTGTGCAAAGAGAGTAAAAATCAGGAAAGGTGTGCATCACTGGTGAATTCTCTCCCCATACTTATTTAATCTCACTGCTGAACAAATAACCAGAGAAGCTGGATTATAGATGAACAACACAGCATCAGGATTGGAGGAAGGCTCATTAACTTGTGCTATACAGATGACACAACCTTGCTTGCTTGCTGTGAGAAGGACCTGAAGCATGTACTGATGAAGATCAAGGACCGCAGCCTTCGACTCTGCAGAGAAGACCAAAATGCTCACAAGCAGACCAATAGAAAACATCATGATAAACGGAGAAAATAATTAAACTGGTCAAGGATTTCATCCTGCTTGGAGCCACAATCTGTGCTCGTGGAAGTAGCAGTCCAAAGACATCACACAACTCGTTGCATCAGGGTAAATCTGCTGCACAAGATAACTTTACAGTGTTGAAGACTAAGGTGTGCCATGGTCCCCAGCCCTAAGAATGTAGTTTAGGTGTGTTCTAAGCAACGCATAGTGCTATTCTCGGTCTACAGCTAGTCCAATCTTAACCCCAGATGCATGGGGGACAAATTCCAAGAAAAGGAAAGGATTGTGGTGAGGAAAGGTCTTGAATTCTTTAAAACGATACATATTTGTGATCTTCTAAAACCTTTTATGGTCAAAGGAATGAAGAACCCCAAGACTAGCACTCTCCTCTTACACTGATGCTATGAGCGTTACACCCACTTCTCTGTGGGTTTTAGTGAGTTTCAGTCAACCACCACCCACCATCATCTTATAAAGTCAATGTTTTGAGAAACTGAAATTGGGCCTTTACTTCTACTCTCAAAAGTCCCTCCTGTTATTTCCAGTCCCACTGGTTCTTAACCAGCATTTCAGCCATTCTCCTACAAAGGTGATGAGCTTCGTGGTTAAGACCTCTCAACTCTTCTAGACAGTAATATAAGTGAGCTTCAAATACTTCATGGAAAAACCCCCTTGTCTTTTAGTTCCATTTTTCTTTTTTTTTTTTTAATCGTTTTATTAGGGGCTCATACAACTCTTATCACCATCCATACATACATCAATTGTGTAAAGCACATTTGTACATTCATTGCCCTCATCATTCTCAAAACATTTGCTCTCCCCTTAAGCCCTGGCATCATTTCTCAATGAACTTTCTGGAGCACCCTCATATATACTCGAGGCACCTTTATGTAATCACAGTAAATCTACACTTACTGATTCATAATTTCTAGCAAGTTCTTTGTTTACGGTCAGTACGCCTTAATTCTGTGCTTCCTTAAAGCTGGCATCCATGATGGACACTACATCCCTTCTGCCAGAAAGACAGGAAGTGAGCTCTGTGAAACGACCTATTCATAACCTGTCATGACCCACACAGTCAATGCCTTTGCACAGTCACTGAAACAAGTGAACATCTTTCCGGTACTAACTGCTTTCAGTCAACATCCATCTGACATCAGCAATGTTATCCCTTGTTCCACATCTTTCTCTGAATCTGGCCTGAATCTCTGGCAACTCTCTGTCAATAAGCAACAGACTTTTCACTTTTAGTGACTACATTTTTATTTCCCTTGAAATATGCAGGCAATAGCTCTCCAAGGAAGTCCTGAAGGAATACCAAAAATAGACTTTGGGGCTAGGGTGTAGCTCCCCATCAGATTCGATCAGAAAACACTCCTAAAGGTCAACAAACAGACCTTGAACTATTTACAGGCTTTTCTTTTTTTGTCATTGGTTTTTGTTGTTGTTTTGTTTTCTTTTGTTCTGTCTTGTTTTTTGTGCGTATTATTATCTCTGAAGGTCTATCTAGATGAGATAAGGAGAAACAATCTGGAGG